TTGCGTTAATAATTAAAAGTCAAAATTTTTTATGCATTTAGAGAGTATATGCAATTAGACAGTATGCAATTAGACAGCATCAACTGTAGTATACCGAGCACCGATTACTTTAGTCACTCTTGAGAAATAGCCAAAGTAAATTAAATTATTTTTATAAAATATTATATTTATAATATGTATATATATAGTTTTTATATGTAAAGAATTCTTATTATAAGTCTACATTGAGTTTGTAGATCTATATAAAAATTTATAGACCTACATTAAATTTTATAAAAAAAACAAATTTGCTGATGTTAGAGAGTAGTTTTATAAATGTTACTAGTACGTAGTTGGGACTGGTGCTATTATGCACTTATAGAGTGATTCTTAGAAAGGTATGCACAACGTGTGTGATTTCTGAAAATTTTGCTTGCGGAATAAACTTTCGTCTGTGCTCCGCAGATTCCGCATATAGTTTTAAACACTGAAACAATCGGATAATTTCTATTCGTTCCCATCGTTTTGGGAACCGAATCAACCGGGTTATAAATAAGGTTGATACGAGATATGCAAACCGCAACTCAGATGTTTATAAAGTTTTTCACATGCCTCGATACTATATCCCTTTGGCATTAAATAAATCAAAACATCCATCCTTTGAAGTTGGATTCTTTAATGTTTTGATCTAAAGCTAAAATTTGACTATGCAGGTCGTAGATCGCCATAAGACTCTTTTCATATCATAGTAATAAGCTTACAAGGCATCTTACACTGTTGTAAAGAAATAAACAATACAAAAAAACTATTAAGTTAAACCATGAAACTTAATACAAGTGCTGATTTTTAAAAAAACATGTATTATATTAGCGCGTCATAATCTCTTGTTGCTAATTTTGACAATTCTGGTTATCAGTTATCACATATCAAGACCTTCTAGAATTACAACATTTCAAAACGCTGCTAATTATTCGATCTTCCCAATGAGTATTAAACAAGAAACTCGCGTGATCCAATTTGCGCATCATGTGAACATTTACAGTATTTTTAGAAAGGTATTTGTAAACCTCCTTCGAAGGGACAATATTATCCTTTTCTGCTATATAAATGTAAGTGTTGTGTGGAAGGATATTACTCGGTGAAATAAAAAGAATGCATTGAAACCAATGGAAATGTCGAGAGAAATAATAGGAAGTGTACAATTCACTTGACGCGAAAAATGACACTAAGTGCTAATAATTTTAGGGAAATAAAAAATATTGATGAATAAGGTTGAAATTTAATGTTTAAATATATAAAATGATTAAACGCGAAATATAATATACCTCATTGGCAGCTCGCGGAATCCGATACCTGAAATTATAAGCCACATTTGAGTAATGTAATAAAAAAATGATTGGGTCTATCAAAATTAGACCGCTAATACGTTTCCTGGCCTCTTTTATCATCCAAGCACATACAGCGGTGCCTAACGAATGGGCAACAAATATAGCTTTTGGATAATTTCGAGAGATAAGCATTTCTTCAATTTCACGAACAGTTTCCTCCATTGTTGGAACGTCTTCAACCATCTGCATTGAGACATAAGGTAATTCAACCAGAAACAAAGGACGATCCAATTTCCACAATCTTTTGATGAAATTAAAATAACAAAATAAACCACCACCAACACCATGAATAAAAACGATTGGTTTCTGACGTTCCTTTTTTTTTTTTAGTGGGAAGGAATCGCAGCAAGAATGAGGGTCGTAATACCAATAGCTGATTCTTGATGGTGGACTACCTTCTTGAATATCAAATTCCAAGGTACTTGACCAGTAACCGTTCAAGATACTTTCTTTTGAACCAAAATGTTCGAATCCATAAAGTTTTAAGAGGATATTGAATGCGGAACTCAATAAGAAGATAGTCTAATATTATATAAAACATAAAACATTATATATATATGATATTATTTTACGAAAAGTATATACAGTACATCGCACTAGAGATTGGACCCGTTGAGAAAATCCCTACCCGGGTATTATTAAATTACCCGGGTTATCCGGGTAAATTATTATGTATTTCGGGTAATCATATAGCAACAATTTCTACCCGGGTCAATCCCTACATCGCACCTCTGCGATACGCGTCTCGATTTGATTGATGTGATTGGTTAATTTCATTAATCTTCGTTACACGATTTGTTTAGAAAGTTTTATTTTTTTCAGTAATATATTATTACATGTGAATTCATGATAAACATTTTGCCTAGAAGCAAAAGATGGTTATCTAAGTAAAATTTTGAGATATCTACATTTTTTTTGATTTTGATTTTTTTTGAAAATATTTCAAAATTTACTAAGATAAGTGTAATGATGATCAATGGAGCTAGCCAATCAAAATTAAGTCATATTTTACAATACGTACAGCATAAAAAACGAAAGGCCTAGGAATAGCTTCAACCGGGTCTAGGGTGAGCTTAATACATTCACAATTCGGATTGTATCCTTGATGAAACTTAACATTTCTACGTTTTTCTATTGATTCAATCATTTCATACATTTCCTTTGAATATTCAGGATGGTTGCGAATATTTTCCAGGCTAGTAGAAAAGAAGCTCCAAGATATCCTAGAAAAGATGAAATCAAATACTTCATTACGAAAAAAGTTTATTAACGTGAAATAATCAACATACATACCATTCGGCAAAGTTATCCCTGTAAATTTGATTAAAGGTAGACCTCTTGTGACCGACATTAAACCAACCTTCGAGCCAGTTTTCGAATTTATCGATAGTACAGAAAAAAAAATTATGAAGCTCATGTCGTATCTGTTTAGATGGTACAACAGGAGGTAAATGGCTTTGAAATCTCGACTTAGTAACTTGGAAATATAGTAGAAATATTAGCTCAAATCCAAGCCAATAATGTAAAAAACCAGAAAGAGAAGAATTCAAAAATTCGGTGGAAAAGGTGCCAGGAAGCCACTCAACAAGTAAAGATTTCCTTTGAGTTACATAGTAAATATAATAAATGAATGATACTATGGGGATAGCAAAAGAATAAATCCAAGCGAAAATTCGAACGCAAATACGCGTTATCAAATTATCCTCAATCATTTTAAATCTCGTATATGGATGAAAAAAAGGGACTTGAAGGTTGTATGAATGATATAAATGTCGATAAGAAAATTAAGAGGAGTGAAAAGGTAATGGATGAAGGTAGGCAGCACCTTCATATATGGAGCTGAAGCGGAGATCAAGAATCTCCAGCCAGCTGCACTCTGGTTTTTTTCTTTTAGAATCAGATTTCTGTGAAACGTTAATGTGGCATTAGCTAAATTTGATTGCATAATTCTATAGCTTGATGCGTTATCTTGATGGCTTGATGTTACGGGGTCATTTCTTAATTAAGCGTATATAACATTTTGACGGCACAATTTATATTACAAAAATAGGACCATATCGTCATTTACGTCAAAATGGTAAAATTTTTTTTCTTTGGGGTTATTCTTATACATAAAAATCAATAGATAAGAACTGATAAGAATTTAAGGCGAAAATAAAAAAAAAAATCATTTTGTTTCATGGGTCTTTAAATAATTAACTTCAATCAAGTTGCTCGAAGAAGCCACGTGATAACATCCGTGCGCGAGAAGCATTTATTGACCAATGCTACGTATATACAAATATGGTTCAAGGGTTTATATAAGTATAATATTTGGCATTTTGTCTTTTGTTTTGTATACAAAAAAATATATATATATACGCTACGTACAACGTTCGTACGGATGTGCGTGTACATGTACATATTTAGCTTGGAAAAAACCGTCCTGTGAACATCTTGACCATAGACTGCAAATATTAATAAAATTGGTTTAGTTTATTCTGTAATTGTCAACACATAAAATCAAAATGCAGGTTGTTATCAGATAAAATAAACCTGCAAATAATCGAATCTTTCTACCACTTTTATCAGGTTGTGATATTTAAAATTTTCCTTATATAATTGTTAGATATTCACATGAAAAATTTTTAATTATTCTTACATACGATTTCGCTTATCGTTACAGTGAAAATCAAATACGGAAATACCGTAGAGCGCTGCATACAGTACCCGGTGTGATACGATTTTTTAAATAGTAAAAAATTAAAACTCACATGTATTTTATATCGCATAGTCGTATAAATAATATTTTAAAAAATTTACCTAAATTGATCTAAATTATTTGTCACGCATGGTACTGTATGCAGCGCTCTACGGTAATAATCGTACCTCCAATAGTATTATCCTGCCAGTTAGATTCTAACGATGTTGATCAACAGGTTGCATATTTGTAGCCAATAAAATAAAACCTCAGATTTGAATCTAAAAAAAAATTTTTTTTTGATAAAGACCGTTATCTTAGTCCTTTTAATAATTACAGACATGACTAGATACTCTGCTAAGCCAGCCAATTCTGCCAAATGTGAGCTTATTTAGACATCAAACCTATTTCGCATATTTGAGCTTGAAGTGCTGACATTCTGATCTCGAAAATAGCTGCCAAGACCCGTGGTTCATATCTTCGTGTTCATTTTAAAAATACACGCGAAACTGCAAAGGCGATCGCTGGCAAAAAACTGTCCAAGGCTATTAAATACCTGGAAGATGTGAAGGAACATAAGCAGGCTGTTCCCTTCCGACGCTTCAATGGTGGCGTTGGTCGTTGCGCTCAAGCTAAAGCTTTTGGTGCTACACAAGGTTAGACTAGTCGTTTTACGTTGAATTCTCTGATTTTTCGCTTAATTTTCGCTATTTGAAGTCAATAAATGCGGACTTATAATGGTTAATTGTCTGCTTTACACCACTAATTGATGGATGGATGAAATCTAAACATATTACTGAAAAAAGTTTATTATTAATTATATTCTGGTTTTTCTTGAATAGGACGTTGGCCTGTTAAAAGCGCCGACTTTTTATTGGGACTTTTAAAAAATGCTCGGAGTAATGCTGAGGTAAAATCACGAATTTCTAAATAAATGATTTTATTTTTCATATAAT